GCTTATGAATGTTTCAAGGCATTGAATCGCACGACTAAAGTAATGCACAAATTCTTCAATATCCGCACAGGTAAACAACTGATTGGTGGACACTCGAGTAGAATTCAAAAATCCATAAGAGAAGTTGGCTCTCTTCCAAGTAACACGTCACAGTGTTCTCCCCAGACTCTAAGCCAAGCATCGCGGCTAATTTACATAACAATACATCTTATTTGCATAATTTTGTTTGCATAATAATTAGCTTCCCCAACAAACATTTTAACTGAAATAAAGAACTGATACATATCTCATATATTTTTTATCATTTACATTCATTGTGTTTTATGTGTGCTGCAAGTCAAATAAAGTTTGAAATAGAACTTAAATTTGTAAAATCTATATGAAGAAATTAATAAATCAATAATGACATTTTTTTTCTACAACGGCATTTCAAAACTAAAGTCAGCGATTTTTCATTGATCTATCTATTATTTGTGTAACGCTACGATCACCGTAACATTGTCAGCTGACGGCATTGCGTTGAACGGGTATTCACCGCTGCTGTTGCGATCATCGGTCCCTGACTTTTTTGTTTAAAAATACACAAACTTAGAATGTTTGCTTAATTAAAACAATTCATTGATGATTAACTAAGAAATTACATCAAAATCGCCAACGAAATGTTGTTTTTAAACATCACGGAAAAACATGCACTCTGCGCCGCCATCTTTGTTACCTCAGTCAAAATCTCCGCTGTAACCCAGCATGCATCGGTTGTGATGTCACTACATGCGTTACGTCGCCTTAGGGTGGCGTTCCTCGGTAATGACGCACTATGAATGAGGTATTTCTAGAGGTCAGGGTTCGTTTTTTCCTTGTCCGTCTCGTCTGCAGTTGAATAATTTTTACTTCGAATTATTTACAGTTTTTTTTCCCCGATGCGACTTAATTTCACTTGTTTTTTTAATTCTTGGTAATTAGTGTCACTGGCGATGAAGTAGTAAAAACGCAATTAATCGCAGTGCAGCAACTCGGGATAGACCATCCCGACGCAATGGGCAAATTATTACTACCCTAGTATTTTGGGTTTGCCTGCTCCGCACCCTTGATAGACTTGGTAACTTCTTGTAGACTTCCGTTTTTATCACTGTTTTTGTAAGGCTAACTATGTACAAAGGCGAGATTACCTTTCGATCAATACATGTTATTGTTTTAAAGATGTGCTAGACGAGCTGACACTTGTAAACAATACAACGTGAATAAGCATCGCGGGCAGATTTC